CCAAAAATGGCCCACAGAGTGTGGAGGACATCATTATTTTGGAAGCGGCAGCTGTATTAATGTTATCTATAGAAGGAAATAATTTAATAATTAATAAATAATATAATAATAAAATATTTTCTGCACTATACTACACTAGTGTTACTTTGTGTTATAATCTACTTTGTAATATTATTTGCAATTTTTTTAGTATTTAAAAGTTCTTTATATAAAATTTAAAAAGTAGTTTAGAATAAAATAGAAAATAATCTTGATTACAAAGTTAATCTATTTTTTATAATTTTTACTATTTGTTTATACAGTAAGTAATATATATTATTTTATTAAAATAAATAATTAAAACTATCAACTAAATTGATAAATCCAATTATTTATTTTGGTAAAATAATATACATTACTTATAAACAAATAGTAAAAATTATAAAAAATAAACTAATTTTAATTATTTTTTATTTTATTTAAAATTAGCATTTAAATTTTGTATGAAAACTTTTAAAAACTAAAAAAATTACAAATTATATCTAAAAATTAAGTTGACAAATTTTTTATTATTAAATTAATTTAAAAAGCAAAATTTTTTTAAATTTTACATATAAAATTTAAATATATTAATTATTTGACTCTATATTAAAAAATATATATAGGGTTTTTGCTTAAAAATGACCCTATGGCACTATAAATTTTTTTTGAGTAAACAACGATTTAAGATTGTATAACCAAAACAACCCGAATTTGATTTGTTGCTAATTTTAGATATGCTGATCACTAATCTTTGCAGATTTCAGAGTGCATTTAATCCAGGGTATATATTAACCAATTAAAATCTTAAATTTTAATTAATCCTATAATATAAAAAATAAGGAAATAATTTTACTTATCATGCTATTTTTGCGCGTTTTTTATATTGAGGTAGCCATCAGGCAGCTTCTAAGAAATTATTATATTCTATAGACCAACCACTTGGGCATTTTAATATTATGTTAGTGTAAATTTCTATACTTTATTTATAGCATATACATATGTATTTATCTATCTTTAATATGTATAACTAGTGTTTAAAATCTATATGAACTGTGGTACGCATATTGAAAATTACTTCTACAAGTAAAATTTTCTTTGAATATATATTTCATGGATCTTTTTTTGAATTTTTATATTTAACAAAAATTATCAACCTTTTTTATATATTGAAACAAAATTAATTTTAAACACTGCATATAACTAATATTTACACACCTATATTTGATTTTTTAGATTCTAATTTTATATTAATTGAGTAGAAATAATGCTGTACAGAAAAGTTTAATTTAAATGCTCAACATGCATAAAGTATCATGGTGAATTGATTCTATTGAATATAAAATCTCAATAAATAAGTTAGGCTTTATGTTTTTAGCAATCTGGCTAAATAGAATATAAAAATTTATGGTAATTACATAATGGCGTATGAATTTTCTAGCATTATTGCTCCCAAAACTTTGTCTAAATCTAAAAAAAAACAAATTTTTAAAAGAAGTTAATAGTTACTACAATATATAGTTTATACAATCATATTTTAAATTAATTTTTTTTAAATCTAAAAATTATATAAAATGTAAACCAATAAACTTAAAGATCTTAGCTAATAATTCTATCCCGTTCTTCTCTTTTTTTTTTTTTTTGATATAAATACTAGATGGCTAAATATTGATTAATGCTACTTAGCTTTAGAGCCATGTTGCACCTTATATATTAACAGCAATATTATTGTCTATAATATACATTATAATCTTCAAGTTATGGTTATTTCTATTTCTTTATGCATGACTTCTCAACCTTAATACAATATTTTTTTAAAGCATTAGTTTATAAAACCTAATTGTCATGGTGCTATGTAGTACCCATGTGACTCATAATCGGGTATGTGTTGATCAAATATTGTGATCAGGATTTGCATGAATGGCATGATCACGATTTAATTAAAAGTCTAAAATAGTGATTACATAAACAATATAGTAATCAGTAGTGATTAGTAATAATAGTGATTGCATGAACAATATAGTAATCATTAGTGATAGTAATAAATATAAGACATTGATCCAAATGGAGAAGTGCTTAGCTTTGATTTTTATTGGTTCTCATGATCTCTTTGAGTTATTTTTAGTGAATACACTGTGTTATCTCTATGATTACATTATTGGTGGTAGTATTTGGTATGATACTCTAGTCATCGTATATACATATTAGCCAAGCGAGTGAAGATTGATAGTAAAAACCACAAATATACGGGAGATAGGGAAACTCTGTGACACTAATAATGCAAGGTGAATAATAGCAAAATCAAAAGATAGAGTTCTGCTAATTCAAATCAAATGCTTATAAATCTTTTAATTATAACATTTCATCATTTACTTGCAATACAATTTTTCTTTTATTTATTTATTTATTTAAAATTTCTTATGATATTTATTATACAAAAACTGAATTATATCATATATTAATTGTTCTTTAACTATTACATATATATATTTTCTTGTATATGTGTTCACATGTCTTATTCATGTAATCAGAATCACTGATTTTACAATAATGTTGGCTCGTCACTTCTTTGATGAGAATTCTATATTTATAAAATATTTTTTTTAATTTTAAGGTTGTGAGCAAAGAATGTCTTTATAAGGGTTATCAACGTGTTGATGAATTTTCATATATAAATATTTTTTTTGGTCATTTGATAATAGTACAGAAGAAATAGTATTTAATTGATTATTTTTATCAAAGTTATCATTATACAATAATTAAAAACAAATTTCTTCTCTACCTGATTTTTTTGAGTCAAAAACTTTACCAAGTTCTAAGCTATTAAATTGAAAATGATAATATTGTTTTATATTTGGTAAAGATTTGAAATTATTTTTAAAAAGAGAACTAAAGTCATGCCAAACCTATTCTGTATTATTTTTATATTGAATCACGTTATTTCCTTTTGATGAATTATTTACTATATTTTCTATATTATCAATAGTATTAACACAATTATTTCTATAAACTTTTTAATATATCCAAAAAATAAATCACAGATAAACTTTGTGTGCCTAGGGAGTATAAAATTAACGATAATTTCTTCATACCAATCTAATGAACATAACCAAAACCAAAACCAAAGTGATAAGTTGTTCTTATTTTAACCACTACAGTTGTCACAAGTTACTCTTAATTTTTTTGTTTTTTTTTAGTTCTAAGAAAATAATACACCATATTTAACGTAGTGTTAGCTCCTTTTGCAACTTCTTTGGGAAGTTTATTTTCATCAATTAAAAAATTTAATTGATAATTTTGTTCACCTGTTTTACAGATGCCAAAAATATTTACAGAAAAAGAAGATTTAAAATAAATTAGATCAACTTGTTGCGTCAAATATAGTAAATAAACATTTTGTACCCAATTGTAACAAATATGTGTAATATCTGAGTTATTTTTACTCTCTTCAATATTGTTATTATAATGTTGTCTTTCACGTTCTGCAGCCTTTGTATATTTGTTATATTCGGCTTGAACTTTATTATATTCATCAATATCCTGTTTGGTAACTAATAATTTAGCCTTAAAAGAAGTACAAACCTCACAAAGATCACTTGCATGTGGCTGAAATCAAATATTAGGAGCTATCTCATACTTTAATTTTCTAAATGTAAAATATAAGATTATTTTTTCAAATTTATTATGAGTAAGATAAAAGTTTTTTTTTATATTCATTATAAACCGAAATGTAGGTTTAACTAGTCGGAAGATAAATAAAAATGCCAGAATCATCTTGATGCCGTAATGGAGAAGAAAATCTGTAAATTGTTCCATATTGTACTAAAAATTGTTTAATTGGAAATGTTATAGCAAGATCTAAAAAAACTCTTGAATCTGTTTTAGATACACACCTAGTATTTCCATGAACATGTTCAGTTAACCTATTTAATTGTAAATGATTTTGTAGTATACAAAGTAAATAATCATTAATTTCACATAACTTTAAATATGTAGGTTTACAAAGAAGTAAAAAACTATTATAATTATATTTGTATATATGCTTTTGTGTTTTATTCTTTAATTTTTCATCACTAATTTCAAATGATATTAATTGTGATTTTATAAAAAGTTCAAGCTCATGTTCCTCTAAAGCTTTTAACTCAAAATGTTTTTCAAAAAAACATTTAAACCCTACTTTTTCAAAACAGGTTTTAAGATCTTTCTATTTTGGCAAGTACAATTATTAAGATTTTGAAAAAACAATTTTAACTCATGAATCATGTCTAAAACTAGTTCATTTTCTTCATAATCTTCTAATTCTAATTCAACTAAGTTATAGATAGGCTTGAAATCATTAATAGTTGGTAATAGAGACATTTTTAAAAAAAATAATAGATATATGCAATAAATCTTTATAAATACAAGAAAATTGAATCGAATACTATAAATCTTTTTTAAAATACAAGATTATGAACAA